CTGACTTCAATGCTTGGACCCTACGATAGGTTTCATTTATTTCTGTAAAATCTTGCTTCTCTTCTAGGATAGACATTAAAATAATTAAAACTGATGGAGAAAGGTTTGTTTGCATCAACATGAGGATGAGGTGCTTTTATTACAACTCTAGGTCTAGTATTAATTAAAGCGATTAGATGCTTCTCTTGTAAAGTTTCAATTTGTTATTTGCCACCTTAATTACAACTGTTTGGGTTAAATTATTTTCTAATCATAATAAATAAAAAAATGAATAATATAATCATTAAAATTCTGTAAAACAGGTTTAAAATTGTTTAATGATTGTTCATCTATATTTTGAATGAAATCTAAGATAAATTATAATATTAATTAACTTCATGAACTCTTAAAAAAGAAGACAATAATATAAAATAAGAAATATCAATTGATTAGTAGGGCAATATATAAATAAATAATCTATTCTTCATTTAAGAAAGGAGAAGGCTAGCTTATAGCTGATAATTTGGAAATTGTTTGATAAGTAGTTTGATTAAAGCATAAATCAAAAATAAGTTAGATATTTTCGCAATTAAAACTGAAATATCTTAGTGTATATGATGATAGTAAGAAATAACTGTTCTTTTGCACATGAGCAGAAGGATTGATGGTCAAAGATTGGATATTAATTAGCAATTCTGCTCAGATATCTGTATCATTCATTTTTATCTCTATTTGATACTAAAATTTCTAAGAATAATTCATTATTCAATCTATTAATATCGAAATAGGTACTTATAAAGGTATAAAATAAATCCATATGAACAAAATTGTTCTTTATATCATTCTACTATAAAGTCAAATTTAAAAAACTAAACTTATTTTCCTAACAAATACAAAAATAAGGATCAAATAAATTGTTTTAAAAATATCCATTTATAATAAAATCTAAGTCTTATGATTAAGTTTAAATATCATTAATGATCATGATGAGCATAAATTTGAAGTAATTCTTTTTTAGCTAAATCATCTAATTAATTTAATTAGTTTTTAACAAGTAAAATGAAAGATTAAAACCAAGATTAAGAAATAAATAAAAATTAGTAAATGAAAAGTATAAATATTATAGATTTAGACATGAATCCAACTTTGAATAATAATTATATAAATAGGTTTAGAATTTTAGCAAAAAATATTTAATTATATATTTTCAATAATTATCAAAAAATTATATTATGAATTTAACTGAGGAAGACATCGATATGTGTTAAAGAGCATTTGCTGAAATGGATGAAGTAAATTCAATATTTTATTTAGGATGGTGTTGGAGCCATTAGAGGTCAGGATTTAAAAATTGCTTTAGAAAAAATCGGTTTCAAACCATCAGAAAATGAACTCTACAAAATCATAAGCGAAGTGGAAGAAACAAATACAGGACTCATTAGATTCAGTGATTTCTTAGGTGTGTATTGGAAATTTAAATATTCCAACTAAGATGGTAAGTGTATTATCTAAATCATTTTAGATGATGACTAAGACACAATTGATGCCTTTGTAGCCATGGGAGGAAACCCAGATAAAACAGGATCAGTATCAATTTTTCATTTATCAATAGATAAGTACAGATAAACTAGTATAAATTATTAAATCTGAATTCGAGTTAACAATTGATATAGAAAGTCTCATCAGAGATGTTGATAAAGACAATTCAGGCCTAATCGAATTTGGGGAATTTAAAGATCTATTAAAAACTTCATACGCTAACGATGAATGACACCTTAATTGTTAAATTATTATTAAATATTTTTTCATCGCAATATCACCCATCTTTGGATTGTAATTGAAACTGTCCAATTTGGAATATCATTCAGTATTATTAATATAAATCATATTGATTGAAATAATACCCCTTAAGATCAGCTGTGATTTGCATATACATAACCAATTAAATTACTGTATACTAATTATTGATATTATTTGAAATTTCAATCATTTAAATGTACTTATTTTTATATTCTCTTAAATCTATTCAAAATTTTAATAATCTTTGTATAAGCTTAATTACAATAACAGATAAAATTATGAAATTTCAGAATTTTTTATCCTTTAAACTTCAATTTTTGAATTATCAAGTATATTTAATTAAATCATCACATTAATATATATATATTTTAAATATTCAATGTAAATTTATCTTTAAATAAACTAATATCTTTATTCAATCATAAATTATTTCCTATTTCCTAAGTGATTTAATTATTTCTTTTTAATTCTAAATTATATAAATTTACAATGTAAATAATTTAATAATCCTTTAAAAGCCATATATATTATAATGTCTAGAAATTTAATTGAAAAAAAAAATAGAATAGATTTATAATCTGCAATTACTTTAAATAAAAATATCTATTTATTTATATATAAATTTAACATTTTAATTTATCATAAAGTTTTCACTTCTGCAACACTAAAATAAGTTTTTTATTTTTTATAAGCATCTTCTAAGAAGGCCAGTAAATCTTCTCTTTAACAATCAGAATTTCTAATGCCTTCTTAGATTGGTGGCAATCTCATTCTAATATTAGGTATCTTATTAAGCAAAAAAGCTGCGTCATGAAACTTAAATAACTTTATGCAAATACTTTTCCATATTTTAACAGATATTCTAATAGTTCTTCATATTTTGATAATCTAAAAAACATATCTATTCCTAATTAAAAAGCTGGTTCATATGGTTCAGATTTGTTATCTTATAAGACAATAGATTCCTTACCACTTATATCAATCAATAATTTTGCAAAATCTAAATTATCTTGGAGAACTTAATATTAGACTAAGAAATGTAAATGAGTAAATCTATGTGTTTATATTAATAATTTGATTAATAACTTTTGAATTTCAATAATACTTATTGTATAATCCTTTAATATTTCCTAAAATTATCTAATAAATTCAATGAAAATCTCAATTAAGAATTGTTTATTCATATTTTCATCTTCAGATAAGACTTAAAAGAAATTAAATTTGATATCTTATGGATATAAAACTGTGCATCCATTATAGTGTTTATCATTTTAAGTAATCCCAATATTTTCTGAAAAGACTCTTACAAAAATTTCAAAAATATTCTAAAAAACTTTAATTGGTTTATTATTCAATGCTAATTAAATTAAAAATTCAAAAACAGCATTTTTGCAATTATTTCTCCTTAATAATCCACAAAATGCATCTGATTCATCATCAAAAGTATTTGGTAAGTACTTTAAATTTAATGTAAATTAATAAATTTACTTTTCTTTATAATTAATTATTAAATCATCTTCCTAATAATTACAACTTTATTCATCTAAAAATTAATATTAATATTACAAATTTTGCTTTGAATTTAAACATTATTTTAAGTAAGAGCACACCATTTCATTTTTACTAAAAATGTTGAAAAATAGTCATCTGCTGATTTTATTTCATTGATCAAAGTTTAAATATCAGATTTAAAATACATATTACTACATTATTCAACTTCCTCATTCTATTACAATTACTAAATCTATTTTTAATTTTCTTATTATAAAGATTAATCATTTTATTATTCATCAATATTTTATTTAGAAGAATCTTTATTTTCCATTATTTTATCATCAACTTTTTCATCAAGTTCTAATTATTTATTTGAAGATTATCCTTTTTAAATCTAATCCTAATCATTTTAAATATCTTCTAAACTTCTGCTTGAACTTTTTTAGGTTGATTCATTTTATTAAGAATCTTTAATCTATTGATGTTAGTGAACTACATGTTATTTTTCTACTTCTTTAAATTTTATAGTTGAAATTTCTTATTATTCAAAAATTGATTAAGCAGCTCCTAAAGGTGATTCTGATCTTTATTTTTTGACATCAAAAACAATTGAGAATTTTTCATTGAAGGTAGATAATATAATAAGATTATCAATAACTGATAGATTAATCTAATATCTAATAATAATTAATTACTGTTATATCAGATGGGAAATTAAGCAGATATTTTTATTTAGTAATTTTTTCATATTGTAATTAATAAAATAACAATTTGCCACTATATGAATTGGAAAAGGCCAAAAGTGATTTACCATATATGTGAATTAAATAGACTCTATGAATTGACTCTGATATCAATTCATCTTAACATAAATCTTTGTTTTTCTTATCTGTGGGTACTATAAATTAAGGAGTGTCTATTTTTTTTGATTTGAATAGTGAAGAAAAAGGTGTATTACCATCTTTGGGTTCATAATCATCTAAATAAAAATCAGGTCCTTTGTATTTGAAATCCTTTTTTTTATCTTTAAAGAAGTAAGTAGATATTAATCCATTATGATTGTTACTACATGTTGCTAGAACCTCATTTTTTGGTTCATACCAAGAGCAAGTAATTTTTTATTATAAAAACTTGACTTTCTTTATTTAATCATCAATTTTAAGTAGATGTATACCATGATTTTCTACAACCATAATATCAAATATTCCTAATGAACCTTTTGCCCATTCAAATTGAATAATATATGAATTCTTTTCTGATTACGCAGTGTAAAAGAATTATCTGTTTGCTCTGGTTGAAAATATGCACTAAACAATACTAGATAAAAAATTACTAATTAAATTTCAGATGTTTAATAAGCAACATATGAGTAATCCTATTGAATATTCATACTATGTATCATTCCATTATAAGGGATCTTTATACGCACAACTTTATTGAGTTGATTTTTTTAGATTATAAATATTTGATTCAATTCTCTAAAGATGAAAATTTCATTTCCTCTGTCATAAAATAACTACCGAGATATGAAAATGGAAAGTTTACTTGTGATTCTGGTCGAAGAGTATTCCAAAATTCATTTAAAAAGGTTTTTTGACTGTATTGTATGAATTAGGCTAATGACATACAAATAATGTAAAATAAATATAAAGTAAAACAAAGTTAAATAGTTTGTTGATTATATTTAATTGTATCGTTCCATAATTAGAGAAATTATTTAATCATAAATGGGGTAATGTTCTTGTCAAGAATCAATTCCTATCACAAATGAGGTTTCTCCAATAAATTTATTTCAGAAACCCATAATCATTACAGAAGAATAGGTTAATGTAAATTAGGCTACACATTCTTTAGAAGTGGATAAAGCATTTTCTCAAGCAAAAACTAAATAAATGGAAGATTCAGAGGAGTTAGAATTACATAGACCAAATAAGGCAGAAGCTTGGGAGACATCTAAGTTGTTTGAAACTATTTCTGAAAAAGTTAAAGTAAAATACAAGTTTAAACATTCTAGGAATTATAGAATATATTACCACCTTTAGATCTAGAAGAAAGAGAAGGATATTTTTATGGAGTTTATGAATTAAAAAATGGATCCTTATATCAAGGTACTTGGATAGAAGGTTTAAGAGAAGGAAAAGGTAATCATATCAAATATGTTTAGGAGCATAGATAATGAAGAATGGAGCATTATATGAAGGCTATTTTGTTAAAGGAAAATCTAAAGGTTAAGGAAGAATGATATATCCAGATGGAGATTATTATATTGGTGAATGGTTGGACGATTAACGTATTAAGTTTTCATAATTTTAGTTCATGGATATGGTGAGTACTATCATGCAGATGGAACTAAATATAAAGGAAATTGGGAATTCGATAAATAGCATGGATATGGAGAGGAATATTTTAAAGATTCTTCAATTTTTAAAGGATAATTTTAAAAAGGTAAAAAATTTGGAGAAGGACTTTTTATATTTCCTGATGGATCTCAGTATGAAGGCTAATTTTAAAGTAATTATTTTTCAGGGAAGGGGTACTATTACATCAATATATTGTATCTAGTAAATATACTTGGCCTAACAAAAAATAATATATTGGTTAATGGGAATAGAGTAAAATGAATGGATAAGGTATAATGATTTGGTAAGATGGAACTCGATATGAAGGATCTTATTTAGAGGATAAAAAACATGGATTTGGAACTATAACATGGCGTAATTTTATGATCATTTTATTAGCTGATTCTCGATGCTATTCAGGTTAGTGGTTAAATGGGAAAATGCATGGAATAGGAGAATATACTAGTTCGACTGGATAAGCAAGGAAAGGAGAATGGCTTAATGGCAAAAGAGTCAAATGGATTTGATTATATGATTAAACTAAATATTTAAGAAGTTAACTTATTTATTTTGAGATTAAGTTAATCTTATAATTTTATTCTAAATTTTTAAATATCCATAAATAAAATAATGTTATCAATTATTAGTTCTGTATTTTTGGGATTTTTAAAATTTTGATGGAAAATCTGTTACATGAATAGTATTTGATCTTTATTTAATTTAAATTGATGGTTTTTTTTGGTATATATTACAAATCATTTACATTCTATCATGATTTTAAGTTTATGAAATCCTAAATCTAAAAGAATTAATTAATTTTTACTTTTATGAATCAAAAGATCTTTTTTTTGATGGAATTTCATTAATTAACTATTTCTATTATTAAATCAAAGTGTTGAATCTTTCTTAGCTATTATCTGTTAAAATTCTTTCATTTTTATTTGACCTTAATTGTTATTTTAGACAAATATTTTCTTTTTAAATGGACTTATATTTAATATATGTACTATAATCTAATAATTTAAACTGTCTAATTATTTTTAATATTCTTCAGAATTCTCTAATAAACTTTCAGCATATAGTTTTAATTATTATTCAATCTAAATATGTTTTCTAGCTTCAGCTTCTTTTTAAATTAATTGTTATTCTAAATTTTAATATGAATTTAATAATTCTTCATGTTCAATTATTAATTAATCTATATATTGACATATAATATTAAAACAAATAGTAGCATCTTCTTTTTAGAATTGTTTGTTGATTTCTTTCTTGTCATATTAAGGATTTATTTTCTTAGAATAGTTAATTATCTTTATTTATATATAAATATACATTATTTACTAGTTCTAAACCAATTTAACATACTTCTGTATTTTGAATTGCTTACGACATCAAAATTAATATTAATTAATTAATTTTATTTAAATAGATAAAAAATTTGATTAGATGCTTCATAAAGAGTTGTAAACAACAATTATAAATTGTCTAAGTATATATATATATAATATAATTTAAATTCATAAGTTTTGTGTAATTTCTTTAATAATGTCTACTTTATTTATTTTATTCCCTGCACATATACTTAGATTTCTTTTATGTGGTATTTACTTTGATGTAACATTATTGAAACTAATACAATTTAATCCATCAACAGTATTCAATGATCTATCACATATAATTAATTAAGGAATTCCTTATTTAATAATATTTTTATCAAAAAACAATTTAAACTTTTACATTGTAGGATACTCAATAAGAGGACTAGTAATTTTAGTAGTTCTTAATGGAGTTTTTGAAGTTTTTTATCTTATTTCTATTGATCTTGGAATTGTTTTAATTCTTTAGGTTTATTGTGTAATGGATTTTCGTGTTTTTTCTTAACTAATATTAGTCTAAACACTTTAATCTGTTGTTAATTTCTATGGTTTATCAAATATTTAATTTTCATTATCCCAACCTACTATCTCTTATTGAGTAAAGTTGATTTTACTTTTCGGTTGTTTTACTTTGATAATCAAAATATTTACATAAATCATTTCTATGTTAATTATCATATAAAGTTTGATAAGAACTAAGAGCTTCTAAAGTTTATTAAGCAGTATTTTCAACTCTTTTTCTTATTGGTGATTGATTAAGTGTTGATTTTCCAATTTTATTAATCTGAAAATAAAAGTTAATTCTTTACAATTTTTCTTGCCGCTCTTTATTAATGTACACGATGAAATTAGTTCTCTTTATTAGAAATAACTGACTTTATCATTTGCAAGCAAAATATTTTATATTATTATTATTTATAATTCACTTAGTCGTTAATATTTAGTGTTTATTCTAATATAAAATTACTAGGATTTTTATAAAGAAGACATTCCAAATATATTTAATAGATCTATTGCATAAATTATTATCAATTCTATTTAAAAAGGTCATTAATTTCATATTATTTAATTATTCAAAAATGATCATTACTACACCTAATATTAATCTTATTATTAAGAATTTTATATGAGAAGCATAAAAAAATTGTTAAGACTAACTTATTTAGATAATTTTAATTAAATATAATTATTTTTTTAATAAAACATTAAATTTTTTGTAAAATTATGCAATAAAATATCACTTGTTTAGATCATGGAAAGTAAATGGAATATCTAAATTTTTATGTAAATTCTAAATAAAATTTGTTTTGTGAGGAATGCATTAAAACTTAAAATATTTAACATACAGTAGTAAGAATAGATAAAATTAGAGATAAGGTTATAAATGAATTAAAAAGTGTAATTAATTATTAGAATTACTTTAGATTAAACAATAGTAGGAAAAATATTAAAATAAAGTTAGAATTATATAAAATTCATTAATTTCTTTAAAGGAAAAAGAATAGTAATTATGTAAAGTTATTGATGATATTGATATCTATTAATTTTAAAATATTTAAGATTATATTTAAAAATTTTATAGAATAAATAATGGGGATATTTAGACAACATTTAATCAATAATTTTTTTAAGATACAAAACCTATAGATTAACTATAAAGAATATATACTTTTAGTAATGAATATAAAAATGACTCTATTATATTATTGAATAAATTCACTATATAACAAAGTATTATGGATGATAATTCATTGATTAGATAAAGTGATTATGAATTCCCTTGCAGTGATTGACCCTATATTAGATCAATAGTAAGAGAGCTCAATCTATTTTAAAATAAATGTATACTATATCCATTAAAATTAATAAGCATATAGGTTAGAGTGTTGCAATAGGATTTTGTGAATTAGAAGTTATTAAATAATAATAGTATTAAATTAGTAATTGGAATTCTTTAGGTCATGGATGTTATTTAATATCAAGTGGAGGATGTAAAATAATTAATTATTGATAGATACTTATAACTCAAAAGATTGGAAATTTAATTTTAAAAAAATTGGATTTTGTTTTAATCAAAATTAAATTATTAAAATTAGTTATGATCCTTTGAATAACTTAATTATATTTGAAAAACTAAATGAGTCTAAAAGTCAAATAGAAATGAATATAAATGCATAAAATTTATATGCTTGTGTTTATGTATCAAAACCAAAGGATGAGATTGAAATTTTGAATTTTTGATGAAATCCTAACATTTTGTTTATTTAATGAATTTAGAATCTTAAAATCAATTTGTTTTTGGATAAATCAAAATAATAAATTTAATATAATAATAATATATGATGACAATATCATAAGTTCATTTCTAACATTTCCCTCTTAAGTTTTTCAATAACTTTTTCGACTAATTAGACTAAAGTTTCTTCAGTTTTCTCTCTTTCATTTCTAGTTTTTTTAAGTTATTCTTAAATTCTTCCAGAGATTTCTCTTAAACTTTCTACTATTTCTTCCTCTTTAGCTTCTCTTTCTTTCTTTTCTCTATTAATTGATTAATTATACTCTATACCTTTCAAATAATTCTCTTAAATCATTTAATTATTCCACAAATTAGTGATATATTTTTTCTTCAACATCTTTTCTTTCTGTTATCTCATTTTATAATTCATCAGCTATTTTTGGTAGATCTTCATTCAAATAAGAATCAATATATTCATGTGATGTAGATTGAGCCTAAAATATTAATTAAATAAAATACCAATCCTTCTTTTACAACTTCTTATTATAAGCTTTCTATTTATTATCCTATAGTATAAACTATCTTTTTTTCTTGTTCAACTCTGTCCTTAGAATTTTGTTCAATTAATCTTCTGGCATGTCTTTCAAGATCTGTTATCAATTTAAAGGTTTCACTTTCTTATCTTTCACGACTATCATAATTATTAAACATCTTTACTCTTCTTATTCTTATTCTAAAAATTCTGTTAATTATCTAACTTTTTGAGCAATATAAGCAAATTTCTCTTCCTTTTAGTCAGATTAATGTTATAATTAAGCTTCAAATGCCATTATTAATTGGCTAATAGTATGGAATCGATTATTTTTCCTATTAAATATAAAAAAACTTATGTACTCATCTTAAACACTTGTTGAAATGTTATTAAGCTTTTCAAAAATTGATGAAACTCTATTTTAGATATTTTCTGACATGGTTTTGCTTAAAATTATTAATAATTTTTATTTCTGTGTATTTCATATAAATATCAAATAAAAATATCAGCAAATTTTAGGTTCCCCATTAAATTAAAAACAAAATACAATTCTATTATACTTTACATATTTTCATAAATAATTAATATACTCTTAGGATTTCAATATAATTCATATCAGTTACAAACATATTAAATTATAGCTGAAAATAATATAGTAATATTATATTTAAATTTAGAATTAAAGAACTTTCATTGTAAAAGTTATTTAGTTAAGTAAACAAATATATAAGGCTATTATAATGTGTAATTTATAAGAACTCTATTATCTTAAGGAAAATTTGTTAGTTTTCTGAAAAGTATTTGATCCTTTTTAAAATAAGGGGCAAATTACTCTAAATAAGATCTTAAGATTATTCAGAGTATTTTTATTATCAATTAGCAATAAATAATTATCTAACTCAAAAATATTGAATTCAAATTTATAAAATAGATAATAAATGAAAAAATAAAAAGAATAAAACTTCATAAGAAAATACCTTTAAACAAATTTAAGAATGCTAATAGTTATCCATTAAAAGCAGTATAATATGTATTAGACACTCACATATTTTTTTTTTCTTTTAGGACAATTACAGACTGCATTTTTCTATATATATCCCTGTTATAATGCCTCTTTCAAGATTTATAATAAATTTATATTAATATACCTCATAAGACCAGATTTATTATGGATAGATAATTAGATGATTGGTATAGATAATAAATTTTTATTCCTCATTCCATTAATATGCTGGTTATTTTTTGACATTTTAGTATTACAGGGATAAGTGATTTATTAGATAATCAGTAGAAAATTAAATGACAATCAAAGCAATTAAATTGAAATTTCTGGGTCATTTTAAAATATGGTCATAAATATTAAATCAATATATTCTTAACTATTTATCATTTACTTTTATATTCCAGCTTAAGTATTATCATTTACATCATTTGGAGTTTCTGAAGGAATCAAGAATATTGATATTACAATATTTAGTATAATCACTGTAATAATTACTTTAATTAATCAAATGATTAAACTCTATGTTAGTAACACTTGTTTAGATTTAACAATTAAAGGATATGAAAGATTATACTTTACGAAATTTGATTTTTTTAGAGAACTGATAATTTTGATTTAATTAATTCTTTTTGGAATTTTAACTGATTATGATAAGGCACAAATAGCATAAGGAATTTTAATTTTGTTTGTAAATTTAACTTATATATTTAATGTAATAATTGATAAATCCATTGTTATTGAAAGATTTGCATAGATAATTTTGATTGTCCATATAAGTTTAATTGCAATTATAGCTACATCACTATTAAATTATTGGCAATTAGGTTTAATTTTAATACCATTATGTATTTCTATTAGTTTCACATACCGTTAATAAGTCATAATGAATTTATATCAAGGTATTAGATTAGAAAAAAATGTACAAAAAATAATTCATTATATTTCATATTAAATTAATAATAAATAAAGAAATTTAGAAGGAATAGATTAGGTATCTTAAGCAATTTTATTATATCATCATAGATAAAAATGTAATGATTAAATATGTCATTGTAATACAATTAGAAATAGCACAGATAATCCATCTAATGTTCTATTTTTATCATAAAAGTTACATAAACAATTTATAATTTAAAAAATTAAACATTGGAATTAGGAATTGAACTAAAAGAAAAATTTTTCATCTAATAATTCTTTTGTGTATTATATTAGTGCTTTAAATCATTTTGGATTCACTACTTTAGCTTTTTAAGAATGTAATCGTTTATTATCATTATCAACAAATTAAAATAGAGGATTTTTAAGTCATAGTGATGCAAATTCCCTATCTTAAAGTCATTAACAAAGTTTTCCTTCATAATCATCTGAATCATAGAATAAAGTTAATCAAGCTAAATTATAAGAAATGAATGCTAAATCTATTGAAAAATAATAAAAAATAAAATTGAATATACGAAATAACTTTTTAGATTAACTTTCTTTAATAAAACTGAAAATAATTAGTAAAGATATTAAATTAGAATTATAGAATAATTTTCTTAAATAATAAACAAAATAATAAGAAGAAATAGCTGATGCTATAGAATTATATTTATAGAGTGAATAATAAAATTAGATGGTCAAACACAAAATCTTAAAGTGTTTATAATAAAAATTATAATTTTATAATATGATACTCAATAAAAAGGGATTAAGATCTTAATAATTATTTGATAATGCAAAAATAATATCAAATTTATTTTATGAATTAGAAAAAGAACTATTATTTTAATATTCTTAATTTCCAAGTCAAAAGATTTAATCAATAAATTGTTTTTTTTAATCAGAAATCCTTAATAATTATTTATCAGCATTTAAATTATCAAATTTTAGTACAATAGCTGATGATAAATTAATTAATATGAAAAAGAATTTAAAAATTAATTTATTTGGTAAAAATGTAGTTCATATGATTTTATATTTATCAGATAATTTATCAACTTTAGTTATTTCCTAATTTAGTAATAATACTCATTAATTTTTATAATAAAGTTATGAAGATTTCATAAAATAAAATAAAATAATTGATTCAATATTACCTATAGCAATTAAAAATGAACATTATATGTTAGTTTAAAGATTTATGAATGATGGAAAATGTAAATATTTTAGAAATATTGATATAAGTTTTCTCGAATTATAAAATGGATTTTTAAAGCCATTCAATTTGATACTTGATATTGTTTTGAATTAAACAGAACATTTATCATTTGCAGCATTTTTTGAAGAAGTTTCACTTGGAAATAGTTATATTTTAGTTGATGTAAATGGTATATGTGGAGGTATAACTGCCAATCTATTGGAAAGATCAGGATGGAAGGCTTCAGAAATTAAGTTAAATTCAAAATTAATTAATACTTCCTATTAGATAAATATTAATTAAATAATACCAGATTTTAATGAATTAAAATTGTAAATAAAAGATAATAAATTTTACAATGTATAAATTAATTTATTGAATAAAAAATTATTGATTGGATAGGAATCTCGTACTATTTTATCCTTTCATGATTTTTGGAAATATCCTGGAAATTTATCAGTCTATAAAGGAACAATAATAATATCAAGTAGAGAATTATATGGATATTATTATTTTATAATAGAAATAGAAGATTTAAGATAAAATTAAACATTATCACATATGTCTCATTCAGATGGAAAAGGAATGATAACATAAATAAATGATTAAGATAATACAAATGAAATTGAAGTTAGTGATCTAGAAGTATCATAAACAGAAGCAGAAATTAATAAACCATAATCATTAAATATATTTTAATAATCTTTATCTGAAATTTAATAAGATATAGAGAATAATTCCTTTTAGAATCATAAAATGAATGTAGGGTTAGTTTAACATCTTGTAAATAATAAATAATCATTTGCAGAAAATATGATTAAATTGAATCAATCATTCAATAATGAATAATCATTTGATAATCATAAAAATATAGAACATAACAGTAATGCTATTGATATTACTCCAAATTAAAGTATTCGTAAACTAATTGATACAAGTAAATCTTTTGGTTAATAAAGATTTTTTAATTAAGAGATATAAGAATTAGATTAATCTAATAGCAAAATAAGTGAAGGATTTTAAAATTAGATGAAGGATGTTAATTAATTATATGATGTTGATTTAAATAAAATTGATAAAGAAATGAGAGAAAATATTAAAATGCAATTACAATTAGAAATTGATTAGAAAAATTAACCAAATTAACAAGTTGATGATGCTGCTTCTTAGGTTTCTTCATTAATTGGTTTAAAGAAATCTTTATTTTACAAAAAATATGAATTAATAAATGGAATAATTGATAGTACTTTTAGACCTATCTAATATAAATTATGTCACATATTCTTCTTTATTCAATTGATTTTAATTGCAATTTATAGTATTATAATATTATAGAATTTGAATACTGATTTTAATAGGTTTATATAAGAAGTAGATATGCTATTATTTAGTTATAGTTTTATGACTCCTTTTGATATATTTTTATCCTTAAGATTCTCAACTATTTACTATTAAATACAAGTTCCATCCAGAATGACTGCAGTTGAGTTTGCTGAATTATCTAACTGGTTATCTAATCATTTAGGAGAAGGATATGATGATATGAAATAAAATTTTTTAGAATAATTCTCTAATCCATAATTATTGGATTTTTTTACTGATCAAGAATTTGAGGTATAATTTATGAAGGAAAATTCCACTTCAATGGAAGCTAAGACACTTTCATTTAGAGAATCTTTAAATGTTCTATTGTCTTATCAATATCAATTTAAAATTGCATATTAAAAAAGGACATCCTTAATAAATTAACCATTTTCTGCTTATCCTTATTTTAATTATTTGAATTTACATGATAAATTTGATAATATGACTAATGAAATATTAGATTATACTAAAGAAAGAAAACATATAGTTTAAGATAATTGGTTATCTATTTGGATTCCATTTTTAGTATTGGATTTTTTATTAATGTCAGCTACTTATTATTATTATACATAATATTTATCAATTTATGAAAGTTTTTTAAATCTTTTTAAATTTACAGATGAAATTTGGTTAAATAGAGATATTGAAAGATATAAAATTTTAATTAATATTTTAACAAAAAATTCTGATGTGATATTTAAATATTAATTTGATTTAGAATAGAAAGAGAAATTTATGATGGCTGAAAAATATAAAAAAGAATCTAAAATAATACATGATTTAAAAAAGAAAAAGAATTATTAAAATTATGATTAGCTTCCAAGAATTTATGGACTTATTGGAATTTCTTTTGTATTTTCTGTTTTCTTTATACCTGCATTATTAATTTAACTATAAACAAATACTTATTTATCTAAATATGTTAATACTGCAGACTTTTATAAATTTACAGGGGATTTATGCTTTTAATTACCAGGTATGTTTTCATAAAGATAATTCTTATATTGGTGGTCAATCTATAATTTAGATGTAAATGATAAACCAAGAATGATTGCTCGATTATTTAGTAGTATTGATAATCTAAAATAATTCGATGAATATGTACAAAAGTTTAATTAAGAAGACTATTTAACAACTCAAAGTTTTATTGATAAATTAAACTAGCTTACACAAAATCCAGTATGTAAGTTTTTTACAGGTGATTAATATAATGACTACACTTTCTATTGTTCAAGATCTTTTGATGGATCACTAGATATGGGTCTGACTCAAGCATTGATGTATGCAGCAAATTAATACAAGGTAACATTTGCTTTGAATAATTTTACTTCGATTGTTCAATATTTTAAATATGAGTCTGAAGGTATGTACATTATGGTAAAAGGTATGATTGAATTGGTATCTTCTTTAAAGGAAGCTTTACTATAAGCCACATTTTCTCAAATGGATTAAATTATTGGTTTGAGTGTTTTTCTTTTGGTCTTTCAATTAATAATATTCTCCTTATAGTATTTTATACTTCATAAATATTATACAGAGGAATATAATTTAGTGAAAAGATATATGTTATTATTACCATCATCAACATTATTATTGGATGATAATTTTGAAAGAAATATTAGAATATTCTATGCACAATATTAAATTTGATTGATTTATTATATAAAATATTAAAAATGTTAAAGTTTTATTGTTTTTTTAGTATTGCCATTACATTAGGAGCAATTTACAATTCTTTCAATGAACATAAGCTATTTTACCCATCAGTTTTATATCTAAGTACAAATAAGATTAATAGAACTATACTTGTAAATTTTGTAATTATGATCGTTTCTATATTAATAATGATTTTTTAAAAAACTATGTTTGGAGAATTAAAGGAAATAGAAAAAATAGTATGAATTTTTATATTAATTATTGAATAGTCTGTTATTGATAAAACAAAGAGGAAAATATTAGAAGTAGCATATTTATTATTTTTCTTTTATTAATCATTAGATTGGCAATTTATATGTAAGATAAAAATAGATATTTTAGTTTTAATGCTTTGGTTAATTGCATTATCAATAATTCATTGGATTTCAATAAAAAGAGCTGGGTTTCTGATTGCTGAATCTTAAATTAATTTTAATGACAATGTTAAACTATTAATGACATTCATTATGCTATTTTATATTGATATAAAAGTAAATAATTTGAAATAGTCTAGTTAGATAAGTCTTTATTTTTTTTATGGAACAGAAGAGAAATTTTAAAATGTACTTTTTGGTTTTGAATTCATGCTTTTGCCAATTAGAATAACTTTACCATTTTTAAAGTATGTAATCAATATATTTGAAATTTTAACTTTTTCTTAATTTGATTCTAAATAAATTATCTTTTCTGGATTAGAAGTATTATAAACAATATTGAAATTATGTGTTTAAATAATGCTATTTAAATATGTATTGAATACTTAAGGATTTTTATTGATATTATTTATTGATACTTTTGAAAATGCATTTGCAATGCTTAAAAAATTAAAAGCCTTTTATAATTAGATTAAATTAGTTAGAATGATTGATAAGATATAAGATGTAGAAAAAATAGATTCACCTGATTCTACATGTTTAATATGTCTTAATGAATTAGAAAATGGTAAATAATTATCTTGTGGTCATGTATATCATAAAAGTTGTTTAAAAACATGGATTTCAGGAAATTTTAATTAATTTTGTCCAAAATGCAAATAAGCAATTAAATTAGATGAAAATAAGATCAATTAGACAGATTCTTAGACAAAATAGTTGAAAAAATAAATATTATTTTAAGAATTAAGGGAGATTAGAAGCAATATATAATTATTATAGATTTTACATTAATGTCGAAATATTTAAAATAATGCATAGAATACAGAAGGAATTGGTAATGTTTAATATGCATTACCATGTGAAGCCATAAAATATTCTTCTGAAGTGACTGAAATAAAAAGATTATAAAATAATTATATGAATAAAATTATTAGAGGAATAGAAAATGGTATCATTGAAAATCATTTATTACCCAAATGAAAACATTAAAATTTATTTATTATTTTCATCTAAAATAACTTTATATTCATATTTTTATCATGATTCTTCATTTTTATGATTACTTTAATTAGTAGTTATTTGAAAATAAAATAAAAAATAAAATGGTAATGAAAACATATTAATATTATTGATTTTCACTTTTTAAAATAATAGAAGCTTTCTGGACAAACAATACCTTCTAAAAAACGAGTAATATATTTTAAATGAGTTAATTTTGTTGATTCTGATCTCATTTATGAATGCATTACATAAGAATATGCATGTTTTGAATAAAACTCGAAAGATAATTCTGAGAATATTTTTTTATAAATATCTCCATCCACAGTCCAGATTCTTTTGAATTGTTCAAAATTCTCTAATTTTTAATTTGTAACCCATTTCTTAAAATGAGAGACATTATTTTCAGGAATATATTATGTAATTATTTTTAAGGCTTATTCATTATGTAATATGAATCTATTTAAGGCATTTCCAAAATTTCTTAAGAGATTTTTTGTATCTTCTTTTTTTTGATTCTCTTCTTTAGCTTTCTCAACCAATTATTAAAACACAGTCAAAGGTAAAGTAATTTATTGATCCTCTATCTTGATTTTCTTGCTAATTGTGAGTTCTTCTTATGAGTATTTGTAGGGTCGAAAATTGGACATTTTATTAATCATTTTAGTTGAATATCCTTTAACTCAGTTTTAATTCGATTCTTAATAAATATAATTTATTTGTGTAATATTAATGATATCTTAATGCAGTAGTATTTTTATAATCATAATCATAAAACTAATGTCCTTATACATATAACTAAACCAAATAAAGGATTTCCATAATGATCTTCTTATTATTAATAGAAATTTAGAATTATTAACTTATCTAAATGAATCAAAAAGTAAAAAGTAATCAATCAATTTGAATTCTTTTATTTTTAATGATAAAAAGTAGTAGATATTTATCAAATGAATTTGTTAATTAATAAAATATCTTGATAATCTCAACAATTATATAGATATTTTAGAATGATATAATAATAAGAAATTTTCAATATAGTTGTTTAGATATTTATCAATTAATCATATTTCAAGATGTGTTTTATATAAATGAAATAAGAATATCATAAAAGGAGTTAATCTATATAAAAAGATAACTGTTTAACCCAAAATAGAGATAAATATCTTAGAACAAGTCTACTTAGATTGGAGATATTTTTATGGTGAGTGAAGAAAAGAATATTAAATAAAATGATATATTTATAATAATTTTTATAAAGGAAAATATTAGAAAGAATTTTGAATATCTAAAAGCATATATTAAATTTAAATATAATTAAAATGATTGAGATTGCAGAAAAGGGTGTAACAAATTTAGAATTGAGCAAACATTTTATTAAGAGACTAAATTATCCTTAATGGAAAAGAATCAACAGGTTTGAATTTACACAGATATTTTGAAAAATATTGATTATATACTTTATACTATAACACGTCAGGCGATTGTTTATTTTAGGTAAAAACTCTCAACCTACGATTTGAAACATCTAAATACACATGAAAAAGAGTTTCGCGTAGTCTGGTCTCCAAGTTAGCCACCATCACCATCTAAGGCCATGTGCGAGTTTTCTTCTGGTGATTCTAGTCCTTGTGATGATGATCAATATTAAGCTAAAATAGAATTCATAGGTACAAAATTATCAATTCGTGATATATGTAATTCTGTTCTTAATTCTAATTGCTATGAAATTCGAATTTTAGAACCCACAAAAACAGGAAAATATGAAAAGTTTAAAATTTTTAATTAAATCTTAGAATCCCTTAGGAGTGGCAAAACTAAAAAGATATAATTTTCTTTTATTATGATTCTTCACTTGAAGCATGTTAAGATAAGCATTCTATGAAAAAGTATTTAAAGGAAAAGTAAAATTTATTTATATTATTAAAATTAATTATAGATTTAAAGATTATCATTTTATAAATTTTGAAGAGGTCTAAAAAGTATATTTGGCAGGAGAATAGGCATATGTTATAAAAATAAATGAAGTTAAATCAGCCTAATTTTTTTATTATAATATGAATAAAAATTAACCAAAACATAAGAAATATCTTGGTGAGAATTTTCAAGTAATAAATTGTTCTCTATCTTTCCAAAAGGTTGGAATTTTGAAGAAAATCCGAGATGTCAAAATCTAGTATAAGATTATTCTTAGATTTCTTCCAATTTAATTTTATAAAGAAAAAATTGAAAGCATTATTTATGAAAGAAGAAATGATAAATATTAAATAGATATTAGATCATTAAAAGTAGAAGAACTATTTGAATGTATAAATAATAATTATATCTTAGTTGAAGGATGTAAATATGGAGTAATTTATTGTGATGATTTAAAATAATCTTAAAGTTTGGTAGATATTTTTAATAAGTAAAAAAAAATAATGTATATATATTTAGATACTTTTTTGAGAGAAAATTATCTTAACCAGAAATTATCTTAGTAAATGAAGAAGGTAAGAAAGTTCCTTAACTTTCTAATACCTCAGAATTTGTTAATCATATTTCAAGTATCTATGATATTGAAAATTAAATGAAACTTATTCTCTAATAAGAAATAGATTAAGAAGTTTAAGAAAAGATTGAAAGATAAGAAAGATAAGATAGGTTGGAAAGACAAGAAAAATAAGAGAGATTAGAAAAAGAAAGATAAGAAAAAATTGAAAAAGAAAAAATTGAGAAATTAGATAGAGAGAAAGAAAAAGAAAGAATAGATAAATTACATAGTGGAAGTATATTTTATTTACTATTAATATAAGAAAAAAATTATTAAGATATTAATATAACCACTATTGAGATTAATAGTAGTAAAGTTCATGAAAAATAAGAAAAATCTATTGAAAGGAATCAAAATTCCTATCACAGTCATTATCATCATAATTATAATAATAAATGTATTGAGATAGTAAAACTAATATAGATGAGAATGGAAGCAGAAACAAAGGCAGAAGATCAAGATCACAATCCAGAAAGAGAAGACATAGTTCAAGTGACAGTTCTAAGTTAAAATATATAATTAATTATATAACAGAAAACATCATGATAGAAAACATCGATAGAATCGATATGAGACAAAAAGAAAATCGGGATGGGAAAACAATAGTAGTAAGACAAGAAAATGAATAAATTTTACTGTAATTTTAAAACAACAAGGCATTTATAGAAATAGACAATTATTTTTACAAACAAAACAGTTAAATAAAAATGTAAAACAAAAGCAATACAATCAAGCAGACTTCCTTCCAATTTCAACCATAAATAGCATACTCTATAGCATCAAATACTTCAGAAGTGAAATTTAATTAAGGAGATACTTGTTTCAACTCATCCTTTGATATATTTTCTTTATTTGATTTGTATATGTTGACAAATGATTACAATAATTAACAATTTTTGCTAATACTTTCTCCTCCTTTAGAATATGGTACTATATGATCAAATTGATAACACAAGGGCCCTCTGCAACCATTTAAGGCTTTACAAATTGGATTACCAACTGCATCTAATCTCCATCTATCTGGATTTCTTCCTTCCATTATTTAAGCCTTTTAAACAATATAAAAGAGCAAATACATTATTCCAGCATTCTTCTCTAGCTAATTTATCGAATCTCCTTGGATTATATGGTGAAGGTGATCTTCTTTAATTATGATGATGCTGATGTGTAATATTATTATGATTTGAATTAATATTATTTTCTGACATTATTTAAATTAAAAATAATAATAACAAAATAATCCATAAATATTATTATTGTTATTGTAATAATCTAAAACTTTTATAATATCATAATTTATATATAATTAGAAGGTGAAAGAAAAACAATAGATTGATCTCTTCAAATTAAAAAAAGTAAGGTTTATATATATTTAACTATAAAAATATTTCATTTATTTTAATCATATTCCATTAGATTTATAGTTTATTAAATAAATAATTTAGTTTCAGAAAGAGTTTCTATTAATAAGGAAAATCTCACTTTGTTAACTATTAAATATAAGATAAATAAAAGAAAGGAAAATTAGTATGTAAATAAGTAAGATTGATAATTTGAAATTATGAATACAATAATAATTTATTTAGCTTAAATTGTATGATCTTTAATATAATTTTTATATCAATTATCAGTAAAATCAGAAAATCTTGATATTTTAGTTTTAATAGTGTTTAGATCACTTTATAATGCCTTGCTTTCAAATTGCAAACTATCAAGATGTTTTTAAACTCTAGATTTGGCATTGATCTATTTAGACTAGCTAATCATATTGTCAATTTCAAGTAGGTTTCTTTATCGATCATCCTAATTACCAATAATTGAGGAGAGTTAATCTAATTTAGTTTACAATTAGCTATAATAGAGTCCTTGTTCTTCATTCATAATTTTCTGATATTTTGAAGAGTACAATTTGATTTGGCTTTGTTAATCAATATAATCAGATTGTCTATAAGTTTATGGTAATTGAAAAGTGTTAATTTAAGACTATTAACTTTTGGATGTACTACTGTATAGTTATTTATTTGGACTTCTAATTTGTTCATTTTGTTTTAATTTTAAAGGACTTTTATATGGCTATTTTTTAATTGGAGATGTAGGTTTTTGTTTCTGTGGACTCAAAGGGATGTCTAAAAGGATGAAATATATAATGTAAATACTTGAAATAGCAGATTTGACTTTAAGACGTTTAACGTTTTTGCAGATTGATTATTTGAGTATGTCAACTGAAAATTCTTATTTCTTAGATGGGGTTGAAATGGTTTATATTTTACTTGTGTTGGTTGCTGGAGTAGTCAAGGTTTTGTTCATAATTTACTTACGAAATTCGATGAACTATTGGGATATATCGTAACTCATAGGAGTTAACAGATAAAATTTATATATATATAAAATAAACAATTCAAAAAAAAATGTATATAAATAATAATATTAGCAATCATTCATAAATTTTATTAAATAAAATAATGAAAACTCTTCTTTTAATCATTTGTGGTATCATAATTTATGATAATTGATAGTTGCATCTGTATTAGCATCACATGCATACTTGTACCCATTCAATGACAATAATATAAGTGATTTAGAAGGCTTAAATCAAAAGCAAATAGCTTAATTGATAAAATACAATATTGGATTAGTCGAACACATTTCAGCAGACTAATAAAAAGTGTTTGAATAATTGATAAAGTACAAATATTATCATCAAATTAGATCTTTTGGTAAAGGAAATATCTTATCACCCACAAATATGAACTATTTGATTCTAATAGAGAGTGAGAAATTATATTCAGGATAAGAGTTAAAATAATAGAGAATAACTGAAGGATTCTCTTAAAGTTTTAAAGTAATGGATAAAGATCCAAAACCCATTATGGATTTACTATTTGGACAAGAAAGTAATACAATAATCAAAAAATTTAGATGATTCTTTAATTTCTAAGGCATAAAAGATTTATAATAATAATAATTTGGGATTCAAAATTTATTAGAATGAAGATGATTTAGATATTAATTATTTATAATGGACAATAACACTTTATTTAGGCAAAAATGTAAAATATGAATTTATTATATAGAATGAAGTTTATTTCTATGAACCAAATAAAGATAAATCTTATAAAGTAGATTCAAGTTTAGAAAAATGTGTAGATAATTTCTTAGGAACAACATTTGATTATGCACCTAAAGAAAATAAAATATATAAATACAATACAAATGAAATGATTGAAATCACTTAAGATAATGAAGATTAGATTATTGGATTTTTAAAAGATATTTGTGCTATGAATAAATTATCTACACTTTTTTAGAAATGTATTTCTATTCAAAAAAATATTTATAGCTAATTAACCTAACATGTTATCAATTATTAATAAATCTATTTCCAAATTAGAAAAAATTATGAATGAATCAGATATAGATATGATCTATGATATCATGAGAATTACTCATAAAAAAGTAATTATTTATAATTTATTTTTAGTTATCTAAAAATTTTAGAAATACTTTTGAAAATGAAGAATTATTTGGACTCATTTTAGTAGAAGAAGAAAAGAACCCTCAAATTACAACAACTAAAGAATCAGCCAAAATATAAAGAATTTTAATGGAAACAAGAACAAGAATGTTAAATTAAGTTACTGTATTATATTTTATTACATTTTTATTAGTAAACTAATACATCTGGATATGTTATGAATGCAACCACTTATCAAATTTATGTTTGGTTTGGAGTATTCTTTGTTATAGTCTTGATTGGTATTATATATGCTATGGTCACTATGGATATTTAAAAGGATACTTTATTGTATGCTAAATTCTTAACAACAGATCAAAGAGCATGATTAGTATATGTAATTATACCAAACATATTATTTTTTTAATTAAAACATTTTAAATATCATTCATTCAATCAATTAATTATTCTTTTAATATACAATAATATCAATAATGTAGCAAACGAAAAGCTCTCAATTCTCCATCTTCATTTCCTATTACCAAGAATCTGGAATCATTACTTATTCCTATAGCTGAGATTTTCTAATTTTAAATCTTATATTATATTTATACTTTCAAACATGTAGTTACTGTTGGCCAATTTTCAAATACAGTAAAAGTATCAACATGTACTAATTTTATTGCTGAATCCTTCCATTTAGAACTTATACATAAAATTTCACAAAATTTATTAAATTAAACTTCATTTACACTTGTAGTTAAATTCTATATTTCTTTAATAGGTTCTTTATTAAATTATTTTGTTGATGAATTTAATTTAAATATATTTACAATACCAGTTCTACTACCAACTGCTAAAAGATCTTATTTAAAATCTAAACAATTCACTTCAAATCCACCTGGATTATGAAAAACATTATATATTTATTATTTTTACAAAGACCATTAATAGATTTTACCACCTTAACCTGCAGATATTAAAAATTCATCAGCAAATGTTACTGCCTTACATGCTTCATTTTATTTGAATTCATTTAAAAGTATTTTACTATCCCCACTTAATATGTGTATATAACCAGATTCATTAAATAATGCAATATATTTATCATCTTCACTAATTGCAAATTCTATTTATCTATTATATTTCCCAGATTAATTAAAATGTTTAGCAAATAAAGTAGATTGTATTCTTTTATACTTTTAAGTATTAATATCTACTTCAATCAGATATGTTTTAAATGGGGATGCAACTATTATATTATTATTTTCATTCATAAATTATAATTTACATATTGGAAATTTCTCTAATCCTATTGATTTGATAAGCTAAATAAATAGAAATATTATTATACTTGAATCTATTTATTTGGATTGAATTAATAAATCCTAACTAATTTATCAAATCCTCCTTCTGCAAATATTGGTAATTTCTTATGAAAACTGATTGATTAAATAACAGTGTTTATTTTAGCTTTAATAATTCCAGCTTATTCAATTTAAATAATTCTATTTGGAAGTAAACTACTTTTAATTGTTTAATTTTATATATTCTATGATAATAATTCTTTTAAATTTGCATTCAATTGATTTTAATCAAATTTATCTTTTTCTTATTTAATTTGTTATTTAGATTATGCCCAACTTAAGAATTCATTATTTTATTATGAATTTTTATAAAATTCTCTCAATTTTCTTTAATATTCCTTTCCTGTAACTAAATTTTATCCATTTTTTATAAGTTTTCTCAATTTTGTTTATTTACTCAAATCCACTTATATTTTTTCATCAAATTCATCAACCCATTATGCTGAATCTTCCTCTTATGTCAAAGGTTAATTAATAATTTCATCCTCTTCTTTTTTAGAATTTTATTACTCTTATTTGACAGATTAATCACTTTCATTTTAATTATCATTCTCAAATAACAATAGTTCCTCTTATTAATATTTTTAATATTTTTATTAAGGTACTTATTCAGAGAGTTTTTTAAGTTAGAGAGCTTTTTTAGATTTCCTATTTGATTTGTTTTAAAGTTTTACCATTATTAAATTAATATTATAATTATAATGAATAATTCTGATAATGAAAATCTGATTGAAAATTTTGAGGATGATCAATAAGTATATACAAATTAACCAGCAACTTTGGATTTTAATCTAGAAAGACAAGGTCAAGTTCCTTAACAACATCGATTCTCATCTACAAAATTTAGAGAAAGACTATCTTCAATTGATCCATTAGAATGGGCCAAAAATATAAAAATGCCTGAAAATAATTATTACACTTATCCTTGTAATTATGATCTAGCCGAATTACATAGATAATGTCATTACATCTAACCAGATTAAGATTTTCTAGATAAAACATAAGCTACTGAATGTCCTTGTTGCAAGTATCATTATTGTATAATTATTCATTAAGTAAATAATTGAATAGAAAACGTATTAATTTCCTCACAGTAAACATGTGGCAATTATTAGTAGAAGATTATGGTATTGCTGCTCCACTTTATTTTACATTTCTCAAATTTTAGATGATTCTCTTTATTATTATATTTTGTGTTTATGGGATTTTCTTTATAACAGAAGTTAATTGGGTTTGTAGTGATACTAAAAATAATATTTGTTTAACAGATCCTCATTTAATTCAAGAGTATGAGGATGCTTGTGAATTGAATACAATTTATATGTTTGTAGCAATAGATCCATTTTTATCTTAAATTAAATGTTCATCTGAAATTGATATTTAAAATGGTGGAAGTGGATTCAAATGGGTTTATGTCTAAATTGCAGCATTCATTATCTTTTTGATGAATATATTACTTCCTTTAGAATATGAGATTATTATTAGATATAAATAAATAAAATATTGGGACAAGGAACCTACAAATCATGTAACAGAAAATAAAAAATCAGTTTACGTTAGACATTTACCTTATAAGATGACAGCAGAGGAGATCTCTTAGACAATTTGTAAGGCTATTGCAATGAATAATTTTGATTAAGTAGCAAAAAAGTCAGTTTTATTTGAACATAAGAATTCAATTTAAGAATTAGTATATATTTATGATATACATGAAATAAATGAAATGAATATTGATAGGGAGAATTCTTTACTTGATTTTATGATAACTTTAGAGTAGATGAGAGAATTAAAAGAGACAGGAATGATCACAACTTATTCAGATAAATAGATAAAGACATATAAATCATTTAATTTAGAGATATTAGATAATTTATTTAAATAATAATTAAAAGATATCATGTTTAAAACATAGAAGATTAAATCATATTTAAAGAATGGCCTTCCATATACTAATAAAGTTATTATAAAATTTGAAACAAAAGAGTAGAGAGATGCTGCTTATTTACATTATAGAAAGAAATGGTATTAGAATGTATTAATTATATGATTGTATCAATAGTTACTTATTAGATATGAAGTTATGAAAGAACAAAATAGATTGAAAAAATTATAGAATAACCAAGTAGCTGATATTACATCCTTATATTCTGATAGTAGAACAGTTTCAGTAGATGATTTATAAATTTAATCTTAACCTGTATAATAAGCAAGAGTGAGTGTTTTCAATTAAAATACTTAATTAGCTAAATAATAATATGATTATAGCAATAAATATGTTGAATAAGTACATTATTAAATAGGAGTAAAAAGAGGATTTAGAATTAATGGTATATTTTGGGAAAATCTTGGTATGGATACATTTAAAAGATTAAAATTTAGACTTAAAGCTATTTTTACAGCTGCAATTGCAAGTTGTTTATTAATGGGAAGTTTTGAATTGATTTATTTTTATTAAAATAATCCAAATTAAGTTTAAAGAAAAAGTGATGGATAATTATCAACTTGGGAGAAAATACTAGCTAATTGTTTAGCTATTTTAGTTACTTTTTTATCAAGTTATACAACTTTGACAATTTTAGGATAGATGGCTAAAAGTAGAAGAAGTACATTTATTGAAGTGGAAGAAAGTATTATGCATTTTTTTGTAATAATACAATATTTTTTAATTTAATTTTTTCCATATATTGCAACATTTGAAATATGGGGAGGATAAAAAAAAATTGTAGCTTGTTATGATTTAGTTACTTTATCTATTCATAGAATCATATTCAAATAAATATTTCACACATTTCATATTAGACATACAAGATTTTGGTTGAGAAAAAGAAAAGCATTAAAAAATTTCAATCCAAAAAGATTTTTTTAAGGATAATTAAATTAAATTATGACTCCTGCTTTTATTTCATAAAGAGGAAGATAATTTAATATGCTTTTTATTTTGACAACTGCTCTTTGTTTAATTTACATATGTCCAGTTGCTGTATTATTTTGTCTTGGATTTACTATTTATATTTATTTTTGGGATAAGTATGCTATAACACATAATTATTAAATTGATAAAAGATTCACAATAGAATTATTTAGTCATTAAATAAAATGTTATCAAATTGTTGTTTTACCATTTAGCATATATTTATTTTTAAGATTATTCTGGAGATTCGATTGGATAGTCTATTCAGTTTTTAGTGTTGGAATTCTTATGATAATAGTTATCATTTTCAAAAAAAGAATAGTCAAATTTATAATCTTTAAGATTTTTAGATTACGTAAGAAAATCCCATAAACAGAATTTAGAGAATAATCATTCTTTAGAAGTTATAATAAATTTTTTGAAAGTAATAATAATAATCATATCTTTATTTAGATTTAAGAATTGAGTCATTAACTGATATCTTAGTAAATTTGTTTAGAAGCAGTGAAAATGAATCCATTAATAAATAGTCAATTGATTGATGGATTTTATATTGAGTTGTTTAATTAAACAATATTAATATTATTTTTTATATTAATAAATAAAATCATTATTTAGGTGATAGTCCAATCACACCATTAACTGAAAAGTCTATCTATCTAAGTAATTAAAAATAATTAACTCTATCAATCTTAAATTATGATTTACTTAAGAAATTATAAAATTAGTTACTAGAAATTCTAAAAGAAATAATTTTTATAAGAATAAATTTATGAATAAGAATTGGTTTATTAGTAGCCATTGATTTTTATAGATGTTTTTATTGAAAATTAATAAAAAGAGAGGTTTATTTTAAATTAAAATGATACTGTTTAAAAATTAACCACTTAATTCATTGAGAAAATAAGATAGATAATAGTAATTAAGAATATCTATAAAATTAATTGAGGAAGAGTTGCCAAATCATTGATGTTTATTTTTATACTTTTTAAATTATTATATTTATATATTAAAAGTTGTAATTTTCTATATTTTTTATTACTCTATTTATTAATATAATAATTATTTATTTGTTTATATAAAATGAATGCCTTTGAGCGTACTTTAGAGGATATGAAATCAATTAAATTGTTATGTAAAAAGCTTGGAGAAACAAAATAAGATCAACTTGATAGAATGATTAGAATCTTCTAATCTATGCCTTAAAAGATTTATTTTAGTAATTTTTATTAGAATCAATTATACAAAAATACAATGGGAGTATTTTCTAAAAAAGATTGGAATAGTGATTCTGTTACAATTAGTGTAATAGATTAAGAATTTTAATTTGATTGGCCTGAGTTGATGATATATATGTATATATTGAAATAATTATATTAGGAAGCCTTTTTTAATGTTTTTTGTGATTGATTTACAAGAAGGATTGATACCTATAGATGAGATTAATAAATAAAAAAAAAAAGTTAATGATGATAAATTAATTAGATTTCTTTTATTTAATTGTGGAGTTAATTCTTTTTAAAATATAGAATAAGAATAAACATTTATTATCATTCCTCCTTTAAGTGATGATAAAATGATTTATTATTTAGAAGATCAATTATAATTATATTTATGTTAAATCATTGAATATTTTGCATCAGAAATTTTGAGATTGAAGTATAATAATTATATTAATTTAAAGGAATGATTAATCTTAATTAGTTGTTTTTAATATGAAAGAAGAAAAGATTAGTGATCAATCTAAATTGAAAAAAAGAAAATAAGGTAGATAAATTAAAATTATGGGTGATCTTGCACTTATGATTAATGATCCATAAGATGCTATAGAGTATTACAAATAAGCTTTAGATAATTTAAATAAAAATAATGATTTTTTATGGTGTGGAATTATTCAATAACATTTAGCAGCATCTAAATCTTCTTTTGAAGAAATTGAAGAGCATTTTAGAGAATCATTAATATTTCTTAAAAAAACTAAGTTTATTAATTTAGAAATTGAATGTTTCTTTAAATTGATGTAATATAGAAAAGCCTCAAATGATAAATTAGGACTCAATAAAACTATTGATTTATTTACTAAAACCTTTGATCCTGAATCTCCAATAGAAAAATGCAAATTTTATCTCTTTGTCTCAGAATTATATGGTTAAATACAAATGAAAAGAAAATAAGCATATTATATTCGATTAGCAAGTTTTTAATTGGCTACAATCAATAAATCTATGGCTTTAGAACTTACTAAATTATCTAGCACTATGTATGGTCTCAATTCTTATTTTTCTGATGATTAGAGTAATATATTTTGGACTTCATTATAACATAATTTTGTATAAGAGATCTAACATAATTTTTAAGGAATGTATTCATTTTTATCTAATTAGACCTTATTTTTAACATAATACCTAGATTTAAAGAATATAAATGTTTAAACAAGATTTTACATAATAATAATTAGAAACTATGCTCTAAATTCTAAAATAAGAATCTGTTAAACATGAATTAAAATAAACTTATTTATTAATGATTCCAAAAATTGAAAGACTACAAATCATACCATTTAAAGAAAAGTTTAGTTTAATTAATAAAGAAATTAAATCATAAACAGAAGGATAAGATATTTTTATTGTAAATCCATGGGCTAATAAGGAATCAAAGAATGAATTAAAATATCCACTTAATTCACTTATAGAATTGGTATTATATATTTCTAATGAATATTCTTTTGATTTTTAATTAGATAAATTAGTATTATAGATAGAAGGT